TATAGTCCAGCTTCTCTATTTTTACCACTTAGGAGTGCACGTTGGCTACTTCTACAGACTTGTTCTCAGAATAGACCTTCTGGTTTGGATGCTGAATACTTTGGGGAGTCCACCAGAAAGAAAACTTGACCCCAAAGAAAACCGTCCGTTCTTTTTGGAGCCTGCTTCTCAGTATTTCATGTCTAGACAGCTTAGACTTCATTAACAACAAGCTGCTCTTACTTATAGGACCAAGTTTTAGTATCCACTTCGTCACTTTTTTATATGTTTTGCAGTAGTTCGGTTTTTGTTGTTGTTGACCAGAGGATTGTCGGAAAGAGTTGTTTTAAGCATTTTTCAATATTTTAAAATTTTTTAAAAACTAATATTTTTTTCAATAATTTTATCAGTAAATTTAATAGTAAAAAATTAAAAATAATTTTTTAAAATTTTAACTTAATTACTAAAATAATTTTAACTTAAAGATTTTAATAAATTACAATAAGAAAGTTTATTTTTATAAAAATTTCAAAGATTTATTTAATAAAATGTTTTTAAATTTTTAGTTAAAAATAAACAAATACTATGCTATGCCAATGATTTTAATTTATAGCTAATAATAAAAATAAAACAAATAATAATTAAAATTATGATATTAGAAATTTTTAAAATTTTTTATATAATCAGACTTTAAATTAACAATTTTATTAAAACTTTTCTAATAAATAAATTTTAAATATATACTACTAGTAATGCAAAAAAATTTTAAAAAATATAAAATTAAAAAAATTTTTCTTAATAATTTTATTATAAATTTAAAACAATTAATTTAATAAAACTGGAGTATTTATCAGATTTTGTATATAAAAATTACAGTAGATTAATATATAATTTTTTAGATTTTTAAATAAATTATATAAATGTACTACCGGTAGTAACTAGGCCTAAATCCAATCCATTAATCATAAAACATATGAAACTTTTTTTTACAATAGCTAGATATACGTATATAAATAAACATTTTATAGCTAACTTATTTTTTTATTATTAAAATAATCTATTTTTATTTGTTAAATAAATTTGTTTATAATAATAATTATTTTAAAACTGTATAATAAACATTTACTTTTTGACAAATATATATATTTAAATTTAAATTGTACAAATTTTGATTTGACACTAAAGGTAAACATATTTTTCTTGATATATTGAAAATAAGTCAAAGTTTATAGAATTTTATATAGATGTGACATGTGTTATTGTTAAGTTTTTGTCACTTTTTCTTTTTTAATGATCTCTTGCGCGGTGCGAAGAACAAACGAATAGTTATACAAAAAAATGAGTCGTGAAAATAAAACGGGAAAACATAAGAAATGCATCAAAGAATGATTCTGTACATTTTTTTTAAACCTTTTGGAAATTTTTAATTGATATAAAAAAATATATGTCTGCAATAAAAATCGAATTTAAATTTCTGGTTTTTAAATCGAAAGAATTTTTTTATGCTGTTTTTTTTTTTTTTGATTAGAGATTAATCAAGGAAGAAAGGATAATACTCATCTGAAAAATCAAACGTAATTTCTCAGATGGATACCTTAATGCAAAGAATGCAAGGAATTTTTTTTTCCAGATAAAAAAGGGGGTTTCGGAAAATTTGAATATATAGAACTGAAACAAACTTGCATATATAAGATAAGTGTAAATATTTAGAACGAAAGAATATATAAAATAATGTTCAAGCTTTTCCCTAAAAAATAAAATAAAAATCCCGTATATCCAAATATAAAAATAGAAACCTCTTTTTTTTTTTCTTTTTTTTTTTTTTGCTGTTACATTAAAAAAAAATCCTCATTCACCCTCACAAACGCCTATATATATGCTCCTTCCGAATTTAATTGATAATCTATACTTTTCTTTTTTTTTCTTTTATTTTTCAAGAGAAGTTAAGAATGTTCAAAATTTTTACCATAAAATTCATCCAGCATACGATAGAAGCGACCTTTTCTTAACCATCTTCTGCTCGAACCGTAATATTTTTCACGTTCGTGGCTTAAGACTTCTTTAACAACATTTTTCCATAATGTGGCCTTGTCAATCGAAACATTATTGTCACCCTTTGATGTAGAATCTATCGGCAGTGTCCTTACTTGATCACTCTTTAAAGAATTTTCCATAGCTTCAAAAAGTCCTTTGAGAAACCATTTACGATTCATACCCTTTTCAGATACCATTTTTAGATGTTCAGGTTTGACCCTCACACCAGCCTCTACGTATTGTGCAAAATATTGTGGAGAACCATGGAATTGCGTAAATCCAACACTATCGTTACGTTTGAGCTTGTTAAGTAATGTATTACGATTAGCCTGCATTTTTAAATTCTTTTCGCAAACATCCCTTATGATAGCATTGAAACATTTTTCGGTAATTATATCTTTGGGACCGAAAGTTGAGAGAATGAATTCTACACAAACACAACCTACACCATAACCATAATAACTAGCGTCATTTTTGCTACATATAACACCGCCCATTCTTGAATCCGCAAATAAAGTGTTAAGATTTTCTCTCACTTTTGATCGAAATTCAGGGAAATAATGCCAAAGAGATTCAATATTATCAGGAGCCCCATTATATGAGCATATAGAATGAAATTTATCATTAATGGAGTGCACAACAACGGCATTGAGATCGAAAGGTAGATCATCTTTTTTTTCAATTAAAGTTTCAATTATAACATTAGGAATTTTATATAATCCACAATTTCTAATCAATTCCAAAGCTAGTTGTTCTAGAACCGGATAGTTGAAACTGAAAATATTCATCAAAGCTTTCTTTAAATGAGTAGGAGTTGGTTTGTTATAAATCAATTTTTCGATGATAGTAGGAAGGATGTTTGAGAATTCATACTGATCAAAATGAGTCAGATCGTTCAACGCCATATCTAAAAGTTGGCTATCACCAATACGAGCTATAGTAACAAAAGTATCAGAAATATTAACGAAACAATACTGAAGAGGTAAAGGTACCACATGATATTTCTCAACCAAATCACGAATATATTCCCTGTTAGTATCATGAGTTGCAGTGGTATTTAACATATTACTATCTACACTATCAATGTCCAAGCCAGATTGTAATGAGACACAGATGCGAAATTGTTCCCAATCATCCATTGCGTCTTTTGCCCATAAATTATCTCCGTATAATGTGTAAGCACGTTGAAGGAATACCAAGTAAGTACCGAAGGTTAATTTACTAGTCCAACAGCAACGAAAATATTCGCTCGGTTGTCTTTCTAGATAATCTTTTATAAGACGTTGAGCCAAATTTCGAGATACGATGGCACCCGAAGAGATCATTGCTTCAGCAGTTTCTTTAGTGACAATTTTAGCATGATTTCGTATAGCATAAAAGATTGCTAACCGAGGACCATATTTACGAAGGAAATAGGCGGCCCTTGCATGAGGGTCCTTTGTGACACAGTGAAGCGTTCTGCAAGTTAAAGAAAAGGCGGCCGGCCGATGTAAATACGTAAAGATTTTGAACAATAGTTCATTAGCAAGCCGGTCAAGTGTGGGCATTTAAACCAAGAGGGTATAGATGGAGTAAAGAGACGAGATGAACAAATGGGAATTACTATGAAGAAAGATTGAGAAAAAGAACCAGAAAATTATAAAACGATTCGTAGTATGTACTCTCTATTCGACCAGGACATGAGAGTAATAAAAAATGAAAGCACAAATAGTTAACGAAGCGAAGGTCAAGGGAGAAAAAGAGAGGAGTGAATGAGTAACGGTAATGAACAAATTAATTATGCGGGATGATTAGATAGTCCTATTGACAATTAAGAGTTAATTGTTTAAAAAGAAGGTGACACTATCAGGATCGGATGTTTGTTAAACCTTTAAACCTTTAATTCTCGTGTCACAAATATTTTTTATCGTTATACACTATGGGACTAGTCACGTGCTAACACTAAATTATCCAAAAGTCAATACATTAGAAATCTAAATATCGAATAATAATTGATAAATGCATGTACGTACATACTACATACATTCTCACTTATGGCCTTTGACCGCCAAATTGGATGTGATGTGACGTTTAGTGTTTTAGTGTTTTTATACTATCATGTACATAATAACCTGATAATGGTTGTATTCCATAAATAGAAATTTTAGTCCCCCGGAAAATTTCATCAGTGACATGTCACAATTTATCGCGTATTGTACGTACGTAATGTACTTTTTTTTTTTTTATCATCAAAGTCTACTTAATCTACTCTAATACACTCTAATCCACTCTAATCTACTCTAATCCACTCTAATCCACTCTAATCATAGGGTGATAATTCAGTTCCTATTTATTCTTCCTTTTCTTCCCACCTTCTTCCTTGTAGTAAAAGGAATCTGGAATCCACTCAGCAACATTCTTCCTTCATAATCTGTGTACGCGGTAGTATTAAAGATAACATCAAACCCAGTCATCAAAGGAAACATATCATAATTTCCTTCAATATCAGGAAACAACGATAAAGCACTTGCAGGAAATCCCATTGCTATATTTCCATTTTGATCCCCTGATGTAATTGGTATTCCATGCCATTCTTTCATTCGGGGTAATACTATTTCTACTAATTTGTCCAAGAACGTGTACATTGGCGGTCCGGATATTGATACTTTGCATCCAATTGGCATGCCTAAAGAAAATATAAAGAAAAGAGAAAATATAAAGAAAAGAAATATAAAGATGATTAGAATATATATTATTCATCTCAATTTTACCTTTTCTCAATTTCCATTGTGCAACTCCGGTCTTTGAATAAACCACTGTTGGTCGTTCCGATGTTATACATTGTAAGGCCATAATACCGCTCAATAAATGTTGTTTATTATGTATAGCCTCTTTAATCATACAATGCACGTCAATCTTTAATAATTTTGGTATTGTTTGATGACTTTGTTTTGGTGGCACTGGTAAACGTTTCTTATTTCCTCTTGGCTTTGGTGGTGGTCTATTTATCGCAAATGGATTCGTATCTCTTGTTAAAACTGATTTTTTGATTGGTAAGTGCTCCTTTCGACGTTTTTCAAGGAATTTCTGTTCGGACTCTGGATCTTTATAGCTTAGGATCATTAAGTCGGTTGCAATTGCTGAATGGTAGAATTCTTCCATTCGGAGCATTGAAGTACGACCTGGATAAAACAATGGGGAATCGGGAAGATTGGCTGGTGGTGGTGATTTTTTATAAGTGTGAATGGATGTTATGTTAAAAATTCGAGGAACAATAGTTGATGGGAGTTGATATCTATAGTAATGGAGAAAATTTGATCTTGGCAGCATAATTGTTGTAAAAGATGGATTAATCATTAAAAAAAAAAAAAATTAAATTGGCGATCAGATACGTACCGGTATGCTACCCCCGAAATATTTAATGTGATTTGTTAGAGTAATAAGGATTGGAACCGTCTATTTTTCTGATCACATTACCATTTAACCGTATTAACCGTTTATTTCAGCTAGCGTTAGAATAATTATACCTGGGGTTATGAACAATTTTTAAGAGTTTATATGGTTCCAATTCTTGTAGGGTAACTACTGTATGAAATTGAATACTACACTTCAAAAAAAATTACAGTATTATAAAATATCTGGTATATTTGGGTTTATAGAATGACTTTTATATGGGATCGTACACAACTACGATTAATTGAGTATTCTTCACGAAGATTCATAGTCCGAAATGCGGATATTAAATTTAGCCAATAAGTACAACTCTATGATAAAAAAAGATGACCTCGACCTGCCCAAAATATTTTTTTATTAGATAATTAAAAAATTTAAATAGCTGCTTTATATATAGAAAATCATTCTGCGTAGAAAGATTTTTCCGGTGGGCAAGGGAAAATTTACATTCTAAAAATAAATGATGAATTTCATAATAACCTATTTTTAGAATGTACTGTACATTTTCTCTTGCCCGCACTCATATGTTTTCTTTTTTTTAACTCTTTTGGTGCTTGTTTTATTTTATCTAATTTTTGTTTTCAATTACAGTATTATAAAACGCACCTATGGCGGTTTTACATTTATTATATTTTTTAAAATTTTCCAAGTTTTTATAAGTTTTGTATATAAATTTTAACCCCAATTTTTTCACATTAAAGTTAATCTTAAGGTTAGGATTAGAGTTTGGGAAAAGTTTTTGGGGGCATAGAACATTTTTATTTAGAATACCTCATACTGATTAATTAGCCAGTTTTTGAGATAATGTATACATAGGTATAAAACATCATAGATGCATTTTAGTAAAATTCTTTGTTTTTTATTTATCTATTTTTTTTATTAATGTTATCAAATTAGTAATACTTGTGGGGGCTGATGCTGAAAATTTTTTATATTTTATTATTAAATTGTAAAATTTTTTAGGGTCTTTTCTGTGGTCTTTTTTTATTTTTTATTTTTTTATTTTAGTACTACCAGCTCGAAATAAAAGCTCTTGAGCAATTTAAATCCAAAGAACCAAAATAATTGAAACCTGTTTGGCAAAACCCAAACAAAGAGGTAGTGAAGATCTTTAACAATATTACGAAAAGTTAGAAACCTAAAATCAAAGAATTGGATAAAAATCCTAAGGCAAGAAGGATCTATCAACCTGGCCATAGAAGTTGCATCAAAGGAAAAAGTTCTATGCTATAGAATTAGGAACTAAGGAAAATAAAACCAGAAAGCACTTAAAGCCTAGATACAATAATCCATCTGAACTAACTAGTTTAGTGTTTTGAGAGGATTAGTATAAGGACCAGTTTGATATAGGTATCAAAATCAGAATAAACCTTGTAAAGGTATCAAATATCAGAATTGTGTAGTTTAATAGTTAGTACTAACTGCTAGTAGTAGTTTTGGTTGCTGCAGAAGATATTCAAAGCCAAATCTGGAAATGTATAGAATATAGAAAAATTAAAGAAGTATATACTATATTCTACTAGAACAACCTAATAGTATAAGAATTCTACTAGGTTATCTATAGAATTAGGATATAAATAGTATAGCATATATCGATCTGGGTGGTCTTTAATTGAAGCAGCACAAGGTTATAAGCTGACATAATTGTGATAGTGATGCAAAATAGAGGACATTAGAAAGTTTAAATAGGTAATCTCCTAGTTAGATTACAGGTATGATATATAATATAGAACTTTTAGGTGGACTACTTAAATAGGGGATCGTCTAAAGCTGTGTCTATCATGTGACCTAAAGCCAATAGAATTGTTTATTTTGATCAACACGGATCAGCCCGAAGAGACAAAAAACAGCGAAAAAAAGT